AACTACATTCAACTATGTGGGAGTGCAACATTTATGGTGAGAGTAAATTTAACCATGAAAATAATTAAAAGAGCACAGTAAATTTATTATTTCGTTCGTTAAGCATTTTATACGTTTTTGCTATGAGAAAAAACGCATACTGTTGGGAGGTTCGCAACGCGTGTGTGCGTCTGTGTATTTTTGCGCGTGTGTGTGTGGGCGAGTGAACTTTGTCACCCATTTTTAACTCAGCAGTCCGGAAAGCTGGAAGGCTAAAATTTTGCGAGTGCGTTCCAGAAGGTGTCAACCTTACAACCTAAAATCATCGCTCACATATTCTCGTAAGGAAGCCGAAAATAAATCATGTTAATTTCATGGCGGGAAAACTATTTCGAGAACACCAGACAAGCTAGAAAGCTGAAATTTCACACTGATGTTTCCTGTCCAAGTGCGAGTTGAAGATTTCAAATTTGGCTATAACGCACGCCTAGTCCACGCGTACAGTCATATCAAAGACGCAGTTAGCACTGTGCCAACATGAAAACTAGCTACAAAACAGTAGCTAAAAATTTGGCAGAATATTTGTTGCCCGTCTGGGGAATCCTATGCCTAAGTGGAATTTCGAACTGCGCTTGAGTTATGCCTTAGGGCAGTCAAAGATTTTTGTAGCAAAGAGCTGCGAAGCTGAAACTTTGCGTAGATATCCTACATTCAACTGTGGTCTTACTTAGCGAAATTCCTACATGCGGACACGACAAATACTCAATCTTATCACAAATTCAAAAGCCAGTGCATTTTGCAGATTTCGTAAGCTTTCTCTTCCGGCATCCTATGCACTGCAAAATTTTTATTTTTCAATGAATGACCGCTCACTGGGAAAATGACCGAGTTTCATAAAAAATTGAAAAGTATACAACTGGAGGTTGAAATGCAATACTACCATCCCAGCCGATGCCCTTTCTTCTGCATACAGGAAAAGGCCAAACATTGCCAGCATGAGTCCTCGTATTAAACCACAGCGTGGGAAACACTCCTGCTATTAACGATCTGGCCGCTGTAAGTTTAGTGCAAAAACGCATGATTGCGCCGGCAAGCCTAATGCGTTGCAACCTGAGTTTTTTTTGTTTAAGTGATAAACAATGAAAAAATCAAGTATTTCCAACTTGCTCTTTCAGAAGCCTTTTTTTAGCAACTCATCTCCTTATTAAAATTTGAAAAAAGTGATTCGCGTTGGCAGAAATTCAGCTGTATCGGTGAAATTAAAAGTTTTTAGGATATTCACAGCAAAGTTTTGAGCACTGTTGAGAGAACTGACACTAAAAAAAGAGAACTTGCAATAAAGAGCTGATGTTTTCAATTTTTTCGGAAATGTGCTGGGCCATCAAATAATTTAATGTCTAAATCATCGAAAAACAAAAAACTTACTTCCGAACTTCCCATTTTTCCCGTGCAAAACCTTTTTCAATAGACTGCGCTATTGAATGCTCCATCAGATCGACATAACGCACCACTTTCGGAGAGAACTGCTGAATTAGTTTCGTGTGAAAAATACCATTTCTCAAGTGGGCTGCAACAAATAGATTATAGAAAAGTAATGAAAAACGAGCAGAGGCTTTAGCATCTGCTGCTGCACACCCTGGACAAAACTATTATAACGCTAAAATGGGCCGATAAATCGAATTAAGCCCATCGACTTTATTGAACTAGCCATTCCTGATAATTCTATAATGAAGATACATAAAATAATAAGGCGCTTACGATCGTTGCTCAGGAAATCATTCAAAAGCTGAAATAGCGGGAATGAATCCCATGAATCTGGCGGCTGCATATCCAGTGCTGCATCCAGATCCACTGAATAAAGCGACCAAAAAATTTCTGAATGATCGGCAAGCAGATCGCTAAACCATGCAAACGCCTGTAAACGATTCAAACATCCGATTTCAAATCCACGCTAAAATTCCAAAAAATGCATTCAGAAATAATGGTGTGCCCACCAACTTTTTTTCTTTGGTTGGAGAAGGAGGCGGCGGAAGGAGGAAGGAGTGGAACGGAGAATGGAGAAAGATACTCTTACTAAGTCTGATGTGGATGGACTACCTCCACCAGTTTCTTAAAATAGCATGTTAGAAATATCTTTTTTTTTAAACCATTAGCACTGCAATAATGAAATAACACAATAAATCTAAGACATAAATGCAGCAAATATTATATCTCTTTACTTCAGTTGTATCATGAATAGTAGTTTGCATACATAACTGAAGCTTTAAGCAAATTTCACAGCGTCGTGGTGCACTCGAAGTATCATATAGGAAGGATCGTGCCTACCTCCTTCGCTATCACTGTTTTGAAGGCAGTGACGTACAGGTGCGAAACGTGGTCACTGAAGAATGCTGAAGAGCAAGCGCAGGCTGTGACGAAAATAGTGATGGAGTGAAAGATATTTGTTGCGTCTTCTGATCTTATAAGTAATTAGACTTGTCAAATGAACGGTATGCAGGATATCAGCGACTACGCGAGAAAGTAGATTCGATGGGTAAGTATTGTATTTTCTTATAAATGAGACAGCTGTGCGAGGCGTATGGAAACATTCCTAATGACATCAGTAGCATGATATACTCTTACTGACTGCCCAGACGGTCACGATATTTATTTATTTACATGATACGTTATTAAATTACCAATTTTTTAAAAAGAACGAAAGTTTAACATCCTTCTTCCGAAGGGGGAAAGGAACACATGTAAACATCGTGCCTCAGACCTCCGCCATCCTGACCTTTACTTTTCTAAAACTGCAAATCCATACATCGCCGTGATGCTCCTCGTTTTCTCTAAGCAAATCGATGCAAAATTCGGTAACTCGTATCATGTCTTCAATCCTCTGCTGCGGGCTCACACCCATGCCCATGCGCTCTGGAAATTTGATCTCAATAAATCAGTGGATGTGTGAAGACGCGAAACAATATGTAATATGGATTTACGAACTCCACAGTTATCTCGAATATCAGTTCGATTGGTGCTAAACTTAAGTCGTTGAAACTGAACTTTACGCTACGAAATTTTACATTCGAGCAACCGTCAGGATATGAGACATCACGCGTGCCCTTTTAATCAGTAAAATTTATGTCATTACAAGTACCGGTACAAATAATGGCAGGGAGAAAAGTATTTATAAAATTCAAAATAAACAAGCCAATTTTTTTTTTATTCTTCTGTGAACCGGGGCCTTCCCGAAAGCAGGAAGGCCGGCATAAGAGTGTTTAACACATAGTTGCAACTTAAATATATCGGAAACTCCATAGAGATGGCCAGGATGATCATGTTGATAACAGAGTCAATTTCATGATTACCGCAATAAAGCATTATTTGTTTGTGCATTGATTTCGCATAAAATTGACGAGCAATTATGCCTAATTTTTTAAAGCTCATTGCTCCAACAACTAAAGCATGCATTTTGAAAAGAGCAGTGCATGCAGAACGCATAATTGCTTGTTATAGAGTGACCTTGGCGTAAAACCTCACGCTCAAGCTTCGCCTCATTGCAGATGCGAGTATAATTGACTAAGGCGGCATCTTGGAGGCATTTCCGAATAACATTCCGGACTTCTTCTGGAGGCACTGGTGAAACAACATCTTTCATTAGCACCTGAAATTTTGATTCCGCACGTCCAGGAAAACCGCACACCCAATGAAACCAAACAAAAAACTGTAAAACTGGGCAAACCCTTTCTAGTAGCGATAATGTTCCTTTCAAAGCACCTTCCGGTCGACCAAATGGGAAACAATACCTGCAACTGACTTGGTTTACTTCAGCTGCCAAGTAAAAGCTCAACTAATTACTGTATTCAAAAAGTAGCTATTCGTCTTTAAGACATTTTCTTTAGCGATCTTTTAAGAAAATAACTTCTTGAAAGTCAGTACCTAAAATTTATGATTTCTTTTTCAAGCAAAGTCCTTAGTCTCTCTTTGACATCTTGAAATTTTTCCTTTTCTTCAAGCGTAACCGTCCCTACGCCATCTGGCCTGAAAGTCAAACAAATCGTATTAGAAGGAAGAAGATTAATTACACTGGTTAAAAAAGTTAATGATACTAAGGACTACATGAGATTTTGTAAGAATTTGCCTTCATTATTTTCTGGGACTGACGAAGACTGAGGCAAGATAAGACTCACAAATGCAGTGCGACAGAATTGCCTAATGGTACTGAAGACGCAAGTAGTAAAAATCGCTTACACTTAATTAGCACGTCAAATACGCGTCAACTAGTTTTCAACAGAGCAAGCTATATTTTCCGTCGACTTGTACTTTCTCGAATCTTGCACGTCAGTCATCTGATGGGAGTCTGACTACTTCTGTGGGCTACAAAGAGACACTTCAAACAAAATCAAAATTTTTGCGAACCTATTGCCGTGAACATGTGAAGCGCAAAAAGCGAACGAATAATGCATAAGTGTGGGGTCAATAAGGAAGCCCTCATCGGCCTTGTTGAGCAAATCATTAAGAAGTGAAACATGCCGATGGCAGCCACGAACCATGTAACGGGCGCAATACTCATCCAGTACGAACACCTCTCCCGGCGAAAACCAGCCCTAAATCAAGCTGCTGCAAACTCCTGATTACACCACTATCTAGATTAACAACTATTTTTTTTGACTAACCGAACTCTGAAAGCGTCATTTAAAAATGTGAAGCGTCTTACGTTTTAGAGTACAAATACATATCTTACTGGCAACTTAGCAACAAGAAGAGAACCAAAATTAAAATTCATTGTTCCTCATAGGCGGAGGCAGTCGAAAGTAACCCAACTGGTTGCACTTGCCAACAGCAACAATCTTCCAATAAGGCTGTATCTTCCCAAGAAGCAAGCTCCGTGCAGCTCCCTTATCACCAGCTTACACTATTGGAACAAATGAGCGGATAACAGAGCAATTAGCACAACTGAACCTTCAGCAGGAAGAGATCCTGGTGAGAGGTGCGCTGTAGCTAGATGTAACGAATAGCTACATTAAAGGTTCAATACTAAAAGTTGGTTCATTATAACTATTTGGCCACAAGTCACCAACATAAACTTTAACTCACTAGTGAGCAAATTGGTTCATTCAATCGAAAATCCAAGGTGAGAGACTGCAGTTTACTAAAAAGATGGTCGTGGCTAAAATTGATTGGATCTGCCTGGATCAGTTCATCCATGCCGTGTTTACTAGCTTTGTCGACAAAACCCTGCGCTTTTGACGGCACTACGGAAGACTGTTTCGGCGGAACAGGTTTATACGCTTGTCCAGTAGCTCGGTACAAAGCCTGTAAAAATCAGTACTTTTAGAAATGAGCAATCTCATGCACTGGTTTTGTGAAATATATCATTACTTTTATAGGATACTAAATGCCTTGAAGTAACACAGTTAGGGAAGGACAGGAAAACGCCGTTTCCTTTTAGCAACACCAGGACTTCTAGGAATTCCAATTTACTAGAACAATTGATGGTATTTTAAAAGCATTTACTATTTTTCCTGTATAATAAGAGGAGGAAGGCAATGAAGATGACCTGAATACTACGGTCCCAGTCGCTTGCTCGCCGATACTTACGAGCTGTTCGCAGTTACTATTATTAACTCCCCAACAAGACAAACTTAAAACAATAGTTAAGGGAGCAAGCT